TCACCATGTCTTACACCTCTCTGCACTTGGATAAGTTTCGTGTTCTGGTTATGTACTCGGGTAGCCATCGTAGCCCTACTGTACAAACACTTCAGCACTTCGATATACCGACAGTCCACTTGGCACCGCTGGAGGGACTGCAGCACCGCCTCAATTTCGACGGAATCAAAGGCTACGGAATCATAGACCACATACGCAAGACAAAGTGGCAGATTGTACTCTTCCGTCTTCTGTACAATTTGCCGAAGGGTATGTATGTGGTCTATGGTGCTAAAGCCTTTTCGGAAACCGGCTTGTTCGGGAGACTGGAAGTCGTCGAGTCTGCATGCGAGACGATTCGTAATAACTCTCGAAAACAGCACGTAGACGCGGCTCAGAAGAGAAATCGGTCTATAGTTCTTCAAGAGAGCGTTGTCACCTTTCTTGAAGAACTGCATGTGAGACGATTCGTAATGACTCTCGAAAACAGCACGTAGACGCGGATCAGAAGGGAAATCGGTATGTAGTTCTTCAAGAGAGCGTTGTCGCCTTTCTTGAAGAACTGCATGCGTGACGATTCGTAATGACTCTCGAAAACAGCACGTAGACGCGGATTAGAAGGGAAATCGGTCTGTAGTTCTACAAGAGAGGATTGTCGCATTTCTTGAAGAACAAGACCACCGCACTTCTGCGCCATTCCCCCGGAGTAGTACCTCCATGAAGGACGGAATTAAAGAGCTTCTGAAGGACTTTAAGCATCGGTTTTTCACCCGCTTTCAGAAGCTCCAACCAATTATTTACATTTATTCTCCACCTATTTCCCTCGCTCTGTAGTCTAAACTTGATCTTTTGTGTGGGAGTAAAGAAATATATTTAATTCGTGGTGTAGAATTTTTATTTACATAGCATCCGTCCCACATGCCGTTAAAATGTAAAAAAAATATATTTTATTTATTATGACGTACCTAAGGCCGTTTAAAGTATGAAGGGGAAATTGGAATCATACTCGTAATATTGAGCGTGTCATCAAGGAAGTAAATAGTATGCAAAAGTTCTTACACACGAACGCGCGCTGTTGTTGCCGATAAATCACATTCAATTTCGAACATTTTTAAATGAATGTAGAAACCTTATTTACGCGTATTTATAAAAACTGTAAAGTGTATATCAGTATTTATATTTTGAACTTAATTATTAAATTTGGCAAGTCTTTGAAATATAACCCTGTATATTGACAGCTGTAGTAACTTACGCTTAGGTGAAACGCTCACAATAAATTTCAGAGTACGCAAGCAACCCATGTTCAATCACCAACATCAATGAAATTTGTTTTTTTTTTTTATTCAAATTCATTTGTTTGCCATAAATAGGGTAAATTATAGGTTTTTACAATAAAAATAAGTTGCTTAAAGACCTATTTAGCCATGAGGTACGGCATGCAAACTTTTTTTTAAATTGTACAAATTATGTTGGTGGTAATAGATTCTAAATTGTCAACTTATTAAATGTAAGTTATATAATTCAAAATGTCGTAATTTACAATGTCAATGTCATAATTAAAATTTAAATTTAAATACATCCGATCATTAATTAAAGGTCAGATAAAATAGTGATACTCAGTGATACACAGCAATTTTGTCCATCACATGTCAACTTGCATATTATTATCATTTTGAAATTCCTTAACACTATAATAGCATTTTTTTATTAGCCATTCACGTAACTTTTTGGTCATGAGAATCATAGAGCCGTGCTTGAACTGCTTTGGAATTTTATTAAATATTTTTATACACATGCAGTAACAACCTTTCTGAAAGAGAGAAGTTTTTGGTTTATGGTCTAGGACAAGCCGCTTATTATCTCTAGTGCTTCGTGGATATATATCACAAGCTGACTTAAATAACTCTGCATGTTGTTTGACAAATTTATATATTTGTAATATGTACATGCCAGGGACTGTTAATATACCCAGCTTAATGAATAGGGGCTTGCATGTATCAAATGGACCTTTACCGCATATAGCACGTATACATTTTTTTTGTGCGATAAGAACTCTATTTACTTCAATGCTGTTGCCCCACAGAACCAGACCATAATTAATATTAGACGCGACGTAACCATAATAAGCAGACATAGTTACGCTGAGCGTTGTTATCTTAGTTAAACGCCTTAAGACGAAAGCAAACCTATTAATTTTATTACAAATTTTGTCAATGTGGCCGGTGAAATTTAAGTTCTCGTCAAGTACTACACCCAAAAATGAAGCCATGGTAGTCCTTTCAATAGTTATATTTTTGTACAGCACATTAAGATTGTTTACTGCTCGTCATCTTATATTAAAATTTATAAAATTGGTCTTGTTCAGATTTACATTTAGATTAATTAATTTAAGATATTGAACTATATTATGAATTGTATTATTAATGTCATTTTCATAACTATTTAAATTGTCATTATAATTCGATTTAACAATAATGGAAATGTCATCAGCAAACATTATGCATTGATGTTTAGTCACTCTCGGTAAATCATTTATATATAATAAAAATAATATAGGACCTAGAACGCTACCCTGTGGTACTCCAAACTTATTTATTTTATAATCAGAACGATCGGATGTAGTTGTATTTCTCACGCTTATCCTCTTTATTTCTACGCACTGGTGTCTATTTTCTAGATATGTTTTAAGCCAAGAGTGAGAAAGACCTCTGATTCCATACTTTTCCAGTTTATCTAACAGGACGCTATGAACTACAAAATCGAACGCCTTAGACATATCGAAGAAAAGTACAGTAGTACGCTGTTTATCATCGAGTCCAAGAATAACGTTATGTATTAGATTAAAGCACGCGAGGGTAGTTGATTTTCCCTTCTGGAACCCATTTTGCTCCGGTGTAATGATTTTGAATTTTGTTAAATAGTCAAGCAGTCGTTTTTGCATGGCCTTTTCAAATACCTTGGATAACACCGGTATTAATGTAACTGGGCGATAGTTACCGATTTCCGATTTATTCTGTTTTTTGTGAATGGGTTTCACGATTGAGAATTTAAGCGCCTCAGGGAAGCATCCAGTTTCAAATGATAAATTAATTAGGTATGTTAATACCTGGGCAAGTTCGTTTTTACAGAATTTTAAGATTTTTGTTGAGATTTCATCATACCCACATGAGCTAGAATTGTTTAATGATTGTATAATACGAGTAATTTCTATTGAATTGACCGGTTCAAGAAAAATTGACTTTGATATATGATCGATCGTTGATAGTATCTTTCGCTTTTTATCAATGTCATACATATACCTTCCATCAGTTAGGTTTACGTAGTAATCATTAAACAGTTCAGCTATTTTTGTCCCATTTGTTATTATAGTATTTTCGTATTTCATGTGTGTAATGTAATTTTGTGGAGGTTCGCTTTCCGTTACATCTTTGATGAGTTTCCATGAAGCTTTACAAATATTCTGACTGTTCTGGAGATATTTGTTATTGCAATTTTTTTGGGCTATTGATATGCACTTCTTAAGCATTTTTGAATACCTCAAGTAAGCTTCTCTGTCCTCGTTAGTTTTTTGTTTATAATACTTGAAACGCAATGATCTTTTAGTTTTTATGCAAACTTTTAAGCCCTTGGAGATCCATTTTGGCTTTGAATTTTTATTGGTAATTTTGACTTTTAATTTCGGAAAGCAAGATTTATAAAGTGTGCAAAAAAGATCATAGAATCGTTCGAAAGCTACATTCATGTTTTTCGCGTTGTAAACATCTGAGAATGATAGTGACTGCAAGTAACCACGAAACTTTAGAATATTTTCATTGCAATAGTCTCTCTTGTGTATAAACCAGTGTTGTAGACTATGAGCATTTTCGATTGAGAATGACAATATTTGGGCAGTATTGTGATCAGATAGATGAAGCGGCATTGTTACGCCCGTAGCTTGTTTAATATTACTTAAAATGTGGTCTATACAATTATTTCCTCTAGTAGGTTCATTTATATGAATTTTTAAATTGAAGTATTTAGCCATATCTTTTAATTGTTGCGATGCTCTAGATTCCACTAACGTATTTATATTAAAATCTCCAGTGATAATAATTTTGTAATGTGTAAATTTCTTTAACAGTTCATGAGTCATCGCTTCTAGCCTCGTTAGAAATGAGTGAGCAAATCTATTGTGAGAGGTGTAAACACATAATACCATTACTTTGTATTTAGGGATGCTTATCCCGCAGCACTCAAATACTTCTGGTAATAGGTACTTGTCAAAAATCTTGAGTTCGTTACAAGTAAGGCCCTTTTGCAGAAAGATACAGGTACCACCCCGTTTATTATTCCTAGAATAGCTTGCTGCTTGTTTGTAATTTGAGAGAGTAGCATTTTTCTCTTCACCTTTTTTTATAAATGTTTCTGAGAAGCATATTACATCAGGTTCTGAATCACAGCCTTTCAGTTCAGAGAGTGTCACTTCTAAAAGGTCCTTTTTTGAGAGCAAACCCGCTATATTTTGATGCAAAACAATAACACGTTTTTTATTTAGATCTTTAACAGATTGACTGGAGGATGGTTTTAGGTTACTGTGTGGAACGAAAAAGATAATTTTCCCGTAAGGGAAAGAAAAAGTCTAATATGGAAGTCTGCTTGTGTCTATATCCACAATTTGTCAGTTTTTGTTGCGATTTATTTAACATTTTTCCGTTACATCCGCTCCTATGAACATGGTTCTTGATAAAAGAATAGTTTAGAAATGTTTTTTCGTAATACAAAGAATCAATAACCATGTTAATACTATGACAGACATTCTTTAAATAACAATGATAATATTTTTTAGTTTCAATAAAGTGACTATTTTTAAACTTTTTACATATTAATTTTAGTTGCATGTTTAATGAATTATTATTTATATGCTTGCTACCAGTGACTTTCATTACAATAACGGTGGTATGCTTTAGTAATTTCAATGCAGCGTATAATTCCGCTATAGTTGTTACCGGATCCTCATCATTTTCTCCTACACATAAAATTACCTTATCGTGTGTGTCTACCTTTAAGTTTGTACATAGCTTTAGAACTTCTTCCGTAGATGCAAATGGCTTGATGAACGCTGTTACTTGGTAGCCCTCGTATCTGCTATTCATTCTTGATTTAGTGAGTTCAGCCGCGAGACCAGTACACTGTTGGGTCCCCATAATGAAGATATTCTGTTTTGTGAATGCATTATTTTCTTCATTGTATTCAGTTTTATCGCGAGATGTAAGCTGTTCTTTATCACCTTGAGAAGTAAGCTTGATGCTAAGTTCTTGTATTTGATTCTCTAGCTCGGTAATCTCTTTTTTGGCATTCAGCAATTGTTTTTGCGATTCTTTTATTTTGTTTTGTAAGGAAATTATCAAGTTGTTACATTTTTTATCACATTTCTTTAAAGAAATTGGAGAAAAGTGTGATGTGTGGCTATATTTAGAAGTTTTTGAGGGGGTAAGTGAGACGTGAAATCCTTTATTTATCTCATTTGTGTTTTTAATTATTGGAGATTGACAGATGTTCTTTAGAACCTCAATTTCCTTCTTTAATTTATTTATTTCTCTCTTGTATTCATTGTTTTCTATTATCGTATTTTCTAGCTCATTTTGTGTACTCGAGAGACTAATTTTTAATTCTTTAATTTCTTCCTTCATTTCCTGCATTTCGCATATTTTAATAGTTGAGTAATCTTCACTCTTTGAGAGCATTTCCAGAGAGGATTCCTCAAGTTCTTCGAATTCTTCTTCCTTATTGATTCCGCATGAATCCAGCAGAGGAGATGATATATCTACTACTAATTCGGATTTAGGTGACCCAGTTTGTTTAACTGCTGAAACAGTCCTTTTTCTTATTGTAATGTTTTTATCTTCCGTGTGTGAACGTGTAGATTTCAATTCTTTTTGGTTTTTTAAGCAGATTTTGCATTTCCACGCAGATTTTTTTTCCGCTTGCATTAATCGATATAGCTTTTCCGACAAGCCAATACAATGAAAGTCGAATCTTTTTTTGCATTGCGAACATAATATTGTGTCTCTTGCCTCTCTGTTACATTTGCATTTTTCACATATAACAGACTGATATCGGCTAGTTTTCATGTCATTATTCTGTTTTCCGTCCATTCTTAATATTCTTGTTTAATGTTTGTTATTCTTCCTTTTTATAAAAAAAAAAATATTAAAAAAAAATTACACAATTTTACAAAGTTAAATTTAAGTGTTAAAAAAAATAAAAACAAAAAATCTATTTGAGGATTTGAAGCCTATATTGTTTGGAGACCGCGCCCTAACCAAATACACCACGCATCACTTGCACTAGACTTCAAAAATTTCTGTTTGTATTTTGATTGTAAAGGAATGACAAGCAGGTAGTTCGTTAACCTTTATTATGGACTGCTGAGTCACAATAGCTATTTCACTTGTAATTACCGTCACAGTCACTATACACAACGATTAAATTTTAAGTTATTTTTGATAATATCACGTCACTTAATTGTTTATTATAAAGTTTTTATTTACTTTCTAATTGCACTTGATCTTAGCTTCATGTACATATATAATTTAGCTGTTAATATGTAACTTTTCGTTTAATTACAAAAAAAATCTATAGAGCTTCGATTAAAAACAGCCGCACACAGATCGTCGACGACACGGACCTTTTTTTGTTAGTTGCAAATTTAAAAATACTAGCAATGCTATTAACGTAACTAATATTACCTGGTAAGCTTAAAATGCTTGTTTTAGGAGTGGTACACGACAGTATACCGATGGTGGATTTGAACCCATCCTGCCATTAGGCTACTGTCGCTTAATTAAAATAAATTCAAGGGCTGATTTACCACATGCTAAAGGAAAAATCATGATGAAACCAGCATGCCTGGGGAATAAAATATTCTCAGGGACATGTGGAGGCTGTTACTACTCATCATTCATCATCATTACAGCCCTACAAGTCCACTGCTGAACATAGGCCTCCCACAAAGAATGCCACAAAGCACGGTCCTGAGCCACCTGCATCCATCGACTTCCTGCATGTCTTACCAGGTCGTCACTCCATCTCGTGGGGGGACGCCCTACACTTCGCCTACCGGTACGAGGCTGCCACTCGAGAACCTTTCTACTACTACTAATACTATATAAATATATACCAAACATAACTTACCAATAATGCTTAGGAGACATTGTTATTAGTTCCCTGTAGATAAGTTGCTTGTGTTTCATAAAATCCTTTAAATCATTCAGCCAATTACTATCACCAAACTTTTCAGCAATCTCAAAAATAGCTGGAAACCTGAAACATTTATATATAATTCCATAAAGGTATTCAATTCAGTAGTACAAAATTTTGTAAGGAATATACAAAACCTATTTCATTGGTTTCAGTTCCCTCACTAGTTTAAGAGAGCAGAGAGCAAGAGAGAGAACACTAAAAGTTTTTAGAACTGGCCACTTGTAAACGATATAATAAAAAATAAGTTCAAATTTTGAAAATGGAACTCTGTCAATATTATTGTGTATGTATTTTATTAATTTGTCATTTGTTTATGATTTGGCGGCAAATTGAAAATTGTCTGTGTCACGTCAACATGAATTTAACGCAAGAAAATTTTCGTACAATGATTTTTTATGATTTTCGATGTCATTTAAGTCAACAAGAAAGTTATGATAGGACTTCGATTGGCCTTTCACGCCCCATTGAAGCCCCATCTCGTGTCACTGTTTACAACTGGTTTAATGATTTCGTGGTCGCACTAGTCTCAGGAAGCTTTGTGCCCGGTGGATACCTCATAATTTGACAGAGGGCCAAAATCTCCGTCATGTTGATTGGTGTCGTGAAATGGTTCAGATTTAACGGAGGTGACTCAAATGCTGTGTTCGACATACTTACAGGTGACGAAAGCTGAATGTATTGTTATAATCCTGAAACTAAGAGACAGTCTGCTGTCTGGGTGTTTCCTTCCGAGGAGTTGCTAACTAAACTGAAGAGAGGTCGAAACGTGGCAAAAAAGATGGTGGAAAAATTCCACTCGCGACTACTACTGCTCGAGGCAAACGGAGCAATAACACTAAGGCGACCCCTGTTACGCTATCCGTGATTTTTTGCAACATCAGGGGACTTCATTCCAACCTTAACGCTGTCCATTACCATCTAGAGACGACGAAGCCGGCCTTGCTCTTTTTAACCGAGACTCAGGTGTCCTCTCCGGCTGATACTTCATATCTCTCCTACCCGGGGTACAAATTAGAACACTCCTTTGTGCCCCGGGCTGGAGTTTGCGTATCCGCCAGAGAGGACATCAGTTTTCGACGCCTCGGCAGTCTTGAAGGTACGGACCTGTCCATTCTATGGCTGCGCGTAGACAGCGACGACCATCCCCGCGTCTACGGGTGCCTCTATAGGTCCCATAGCGGTAATGCCGTCACAAACCGGCTCATCGACCACGTCCAAATGGCTGTAGACTCCGTGGTACAACAGGTCCCATCCGCAGAGATCGTGATACTCGGTGGTTTTGACGCCCACCACGCTGAATGGCTTGGTTCTCGTTTAACCTATCATGCGGGCAGATCTGTCTACGACTTTGCCTTGGCATATGGTCTAACACAACTGGTTACTTCGCCCACGCGGATCCCAGAAGTGGAGGATCATGTACCTTCCCTGTTGGGCTCTCTGCTGACCTCTCATCCGGACGGATATCAGGTGTCCGTCGATGGTCCGAAGAGCCCCTCTGGAACATTGTCTGATCCGGAGTACGGTGCCACTCACGCTCCAATCGCAGTTGCGATCTGCAGCCTGCCGCCGTGTTTGACACTATAGGTCGGCCGATTGGGACAGGATGCGGTCTTTTTTTTGCATCCTACCTTTGCGGGCGGGTTTGCTTCTCGCCGAAAGATCCCAGCGTTGTTGCCGATTCTGTTGCTGATGTGGTACTTCATAGTATGGAACTTTTTACCAGCCTACCGGGCCTGGGCATCAACGTCTCAGGATGTAAACACCAGCGCTCTTAAAAAGAAGCATAATTCCGCTTCCAGGTCCTTCAAAAGCGTCATTGCCAAGGCAAGGTCTGAGCAGATCGGCAGAATTGGCGAGAAGCTAGTTCGCCTTCCTTCTCGCCAAGGCTGGCCAAGGGAACTTCTGTCAGCCATCTCTTCCATCTCTGCATAGACAGGACGACCCACTGGCCTATGCCGCAAAGGAGGAAGCCGATCTGTTGAGCTTTCTCTTCGCGTCCAACTCGACTCTAGATGACGGGGGAACACACCGCCGACCATCCCGCGGTGTGAGTGCTCCATGCCGGATGTGTGGTTTACACAGCGCTCAGTTCGCAAAGCACTCTTCTCCCTGTACGTCAGCAAGTCGAGTGGGCCTGATGGAGTCCCTCCCATTGTGCTGAAGACGTTGGCACCGGTTTTAACGCATTTTTTCCGGTACTCCTACTCCCAAGGCGTAGTCCTGAATTCGTGGAAGACAGCTTTGGTCCACCCGATACCTAAAAAAAGGTAACCGCTCTGATCCGTCCAACTATAGGCCTTCCGCCATCACCTGTTCGCGAAAATAATGGAGTCCATTATTAACTGCCAGCTCATGCAGTACCTTGAGGAGCACCAGCTGATTAGTGACCGCCAGTACGGTTTTCGTCGGGGTAGATCAGCTGATTATCTTCTGGTCTACCTGACTCATAGATGGGCCGAGGCAGTAGAGTCCAAGGAGGAGGCACTGGCCGTCAGTTTGGATATAGCGAAGGCCTTCGATCGGGTCTGGCACAAAGCGCTTCTTTCGAAGCTTCCTTCCTATGAGCTTCCCGAGAAATTGTGCAATTGGATCACCTGGGGGGCTACACGCAACTCTTATTGCCGGTCAGTTTAAGACCGTAAATTGAACTGCCTTGCTTTTTCGTACTACGAACGCGTCTTATTGCAGGCCAGCCTGTGATGACGTAACAAAACATTTCAGTGATCCAGTGGCCGGCAAGCTAGCTCAACGTTTTAAATCGGTACTATGAACTCACTTTTGACGTTTGTAACAGAGTTGTGACCCGTTTATTGAACAGTATAGCTGTTAAACACTTCAATAAAAGGTGCTTGGTGGGAGCTTTTTCTGAATCGTTTAATATTTTAATATAATAATGGTAAGTATTTCATGAAGTTATACATGTTAAATTAAGTTTTTTGCTTTAAAAGTGATATATTATTTATATGTACGTCTTAAAGTTCTCTAATATTTGTGCATTAATTTCAGTGTCTGATGAATACGAAATTTTTGAGTTCCTCGAAGAGGACAATAAAAGCAAAATTGTGGAAAACAAAATTGAAAGGGCAATATTACGCAGCCAAATGGACTCGTTTTCGATTGATGACAATGAATTCGTAAAAAGATATCGCTTAAGCAAAAACTTAAGTGTTGGAACTTTGTGATGATTTAAGACCTTTTATGACAAAGCCTGCTAAATTTAGTGATTTGTCGATCGAAACCAAGGTTGAGTATTAGTTAAATTATTCATCACTAGTAAAATATTACTAAGTGATATTTAATGTAGTTTTAGAAAAAAATCTTACTCATTATTTCTTATAATTATTTTAGGTCTTAATTGCACTGTCTTTTTATGCCACGAGATCGTATCAGCGACCCATTGGGGATATAGCAGCTCACTCCGTGCCACAACAGACAGTATCAGCTGTTTTAGGTCAAGTGACGCAGGGCCTAAACATGCCCCAATGGGTCACACAAAAATGTTCTAATTTGACAATAAAACCTATATAGCTTTAAAGCTATGCTTATGAAAATAACAATAGTTTTTGTTTCATCCAAATTGGTGCAGAAATACGAAAGTTATAACGTTTTGAAGTTTCGCAATATTTTTAATTTTTACCCGCTCGTTCTGTGACGTAACGTCACAATCCGAGAGAGCGAACGTGCAGTAGGAACTTGCTAAGTTCAGTACTAACCGTGCTCCCATGAGGATTCAACTCGGCTGGGCAGCGTTCGGAAAACTACGACACATCTTCTCGTTAGACATACCTCAAAACCTGAAAACGAAATTGTACAACCAGTGCGTGTTGCCAGTGATGACTTACGGATCTGAGACGTGGTCCTTCACTGCTGGCCGTATGAGGAAGCTCAAGGTCGCTCAGCGAGCTATGGAGAGGGCTATGCTCGGAGTTTCTATGCGTGATAAACTTAGAAATGAGGATATCCGCAGTAGAACCAGAGTGACCGACATAGCCCAACGGATTAGTAAGCTGAAGTGGCAGTAGGCCGGCCATATAGCTCGAAGAACCGACATCCGATGGGGAAGAAAGGTTCTTGAGTGGCAGCCCCGTACCGGTAGGCGAAGTGTAGGGCGTCCCCCCACTAGATGGAGTGACGACCTGGTAAGACATGCAGGCAGTCGATGGATGCAGGTGGCTCACGACCGTACTTTGTGGCATTTCTTGGGGGAGGCCTATGTTCAGCAGTGGACTTATGAAGGGAATGATGATGATGATGATGATGATGATGATGATGATGCCCATGAGGCTGATCACACACTGAACTTTATTTGTGTTTAAATAAGACCTTTGTGTAAACTGTGAATCACAAATAAACTATTTGATTTGGTGTATAAACTAAAGTATTGAACATTTAGCTTTAACATGATTTTTTTTCAGTTAAATTAAATTTATTTTTATTTTATTTTATTTATTTACGTATTTTCACCAACAATATAAATTCAGAAAACAAAAAATATGTGCTTACATCTGATACAATACTATTTTTAGTTAGGTGAAAAACTGGTGCCTAAAATAGGTAAAACAAGTATCTTAGTTAACCATTTTATTCACAAGGAGCGGGATATAACAGAAATAAAAAAAAAAAACAGAAAATAAAAGTTTCCTGATAAATAAATAACATGACAAGACAAATATGGAGTAGTAAATATGGAGAGAATAAGAAAAATATAACAATAAAGACTACTGGTGGCATCGACGTGTCGTTTTGTGACGTCACATCGCGATGCGGAGCAAAGCGGTCGCCCTTACCGTAAAACACCATTTTACTCATCAATATTTCAGTCATTTTTAAAGGTAGAAGAAAAAATAAGAATACCGTTGAATTCGTAATTTTTTTATACCATTTTTGATACCCTTAACAAAATTGGGTGGCCAGACCCAGTGAGGTCAAAATATATAAGATTCCCGAGAGATGCAGCACAGCGTAGGGCTAACATTTAAAGGTAGGTAACCAATTTAATATTCAATTTTAACTGATTATAATAACAACCACTCTTTGAACCATTGAGCGTCAATAATACG